CAGTTTTTGGCCAGGGCTGAGTTTGAACCCACCACCTCTGGTATATGGGGCCAGCACCCTCCTCCTTTGAGCCACAGGTACCACCCCACTTAATTTTATTTTTAATTGATAAATAATAGTAGCATATATGCAGTAAGTACAGTATGGGGTTAGGATACATGTTTACATTGTGCAATGATTCAAATAGGCTAATTTAAAACATATAATAAGTCACCTTACATACTTGTTATTTCTTTTTTTTTTTTTTAAGATTTTGGTTGAGGCTGGGTTTGAACCCACCACCTCCGACATATGAGGCCAGCACCGTACTCCTTTGAGCCACAGGCACTGCCCTATACTTACTATTTCTTTGTGGTGACAGCATTTAAGATGTATCCTTACTCCTGCAATCACAGCACTTGTGAGGCTGAAGTGGGTAGATTGCCTGAGCTCACAGGTTCAAGATCAGCCTGAGCCAGAGTGAGACCCTGTCTCTAAAAAACAGCCGGGCGTTGTGGTGGGCGCCTGTAGTCCCAGCTACTTGGGAAGCTGAGGCAAGAGGATCACTTGAACCCTTTTAGCAATTTTGAAATATGTATTACTAATTCTAGTTAACATTCATACAGAGAGCAATCAATTCCTCATGTCTAACTGAAACAGTGTCCTTTTACCCTGCTTTTGGTATTTTTTAAATCACCATAAAAAGAACTGAGATTCACCCAAATGTCTGGCAAGAAGAGAAAAGTGAGGGCCCAGGTTCTGTGATAAGCATGTAACTAGAGAGAAACCCAGACCGTGGTATGTGAAACAGGAGGCTCAGGGGGAACAAGACCATGGAACCTGTGAGCTTCGGACCAAGCCCTGAAAACTTTACGCAACAGTTCTGAACTAATAGTGAAATCTAGAAAACCCTGTGCTTATCATGTGACAATCACAGCAAGAAAACAAACCAGGGGTGAAGGCAGAGAACTCTAGTCCAAAGTCCTCCCAAGTAGAATGAGTCACCAGGCAGAACGGGATGAGAAAGCCACAGGCAGCTACTATCTGGGGCAAAGGGGAAACGTGTCCTCTGATGCCAGTTGTTATCCCAGACACCTTCAGGGGTGTGATGGAAGGAACGAGACACTTGTCAAGTTCCTTCCACAGACACCACAAGAAAGAAGGCAAGAAAAAGAAGCGAGAACCACAGCGTGAGCAAAGGTGGAAGAAGCCAATTACATAAAAGTCTGTCCAAACAGGAGGAAAGGAGCAAAATTCCAAAAGAGATCAAGGCAAAAGAATACGAAAACACACACACACAAGTGATGCTCTTTCCAGGGAGAGGGTGATTCCCCAGAGACAGAGTATCCAACAGTGGAGCAGGGAGCGTATACCCAAACAATGCAATCAAACAACTAGAGGTTATTATGTCCATTAAACTAACCAAAAAGAAGAAAAAAATTACCTCCCACCAAACTCTGGAGATAATTTTACAAATGTGGTAAAATTATACTTCAAAAGCACAAATGGTGTATAAAAAAGTTTTAAGCCACTTTTTCTTGATTGAAGCAGCGCAGGCAACTAAGGAAAATGTTGGAAATATTCAAAATAAGTATCTATGAAAGATTTTTAAGAAGGTGATTATTACCTCTCTTTTCTTACTCATTTTCTGCTATGTCTTTGCTTCCCTCAAGGACAAACAGAGCTGGTCTCTCTGGGATTGAGGTTGGGCTGTCCAGGGCAAAGGCCAGTGGGGATTCATGGTGGGGATTTGTACCAGTGACCCTTGGGTCCCAGGAACAGGAAACACAGAAAGAAGCTGGGAGAAGCTGGAGTTAGGGTCAGGTCCAATGCTAAAAGAGAGCTGAGTCATCCAGATTTAGCCAACACTGAGGAGACCCAGGAATGTGGGATTTCAGTGTCCACACACAGACAGTTTCAGGCAATTGGGGACAAGTTGGTCACAACAGCAGGAATAACATCAAAGAGGTCTGTAGTAGAAACACATACTGCACACCACAACGAATCTGATTCTGCTGGCCACCAACAGCACCCTCAACTTCCTCAGCTACTCTTTTCACTCAGACTCTCACCTTCAGCCCCACCCTTGAAGCTGAAGGGCTGATCTACTCCCAGGAAGCGCGCAAAACTCAACCTCAAATGAGCCATGACAAAAATGCAGATCCAGGCCACGCTGAGATACCACTTCACATCCACACGCACAGCAAGAACCAAAAGCATGGACAGCAAGGAGCAAGGACAACAGGGGTGAGGCCTCGGAGCCCAGCCCCTACAGTGGGAGTCTCTGGAGAACAGAGTTACCACATGACCCAGCAACTCTGGTGCTATGTGTGCGCCCAAGAGATGGAAAACAGACATCCACACAAAAACTTGTACAAGGATGTTCATAGCTGTCTTATTCACAGTAGCCCAAAGGTGGATATAACCCAAATGTTCACCAACAGAGAAGTGGACAAATAACACTGTCCACCCAAATAACAGGATGTCAGTGGCTATGAAAAGGAAGGAGGCTCTGCCACAGGCCGCAAGATGGATGGACCTTAAGGATGCCACAGGAGAAGCCAGACACAGAAGGACAGTGTGTGACTCCGAGCACAGAGATGGGAAGTAGAGCAGTGGTTGTCAGGAGGTGGAAGACAGGAGATGTTTCTTTAAGGGGGTGATGAGAATGTTCTAAAATTGATTGTGGTGATGGTCACACAACTAAACATTTTGTGAATATACTAAAACCGCCAAATTATACATTTTAAATGGGCTAATGCCATGATATATAAATTATATCTCAATAACGCTCTTTTACAAACTCTCAAGTTTACAGCTCCAGTCACATGATTGGTCACTGGGGGTCATGACTTCGTCTGGCTGGGGAATGCCAAGACAGATTATCTTTCTTCCTCTAGGTTTGGCAAAGAGAAAAGATAAGGTCTAAAGCCAGTGAGCCCACAAGTGGACAGCTAGAAGATGCTGGGACGGCTGCAAGGAGCCTTAAGATGCAACAGATCCAAAGGAATCCTGGATCTAGCCAGGCCTGATGCCCCCAGCTGGTCAGTTACGGGAACTAACAAGCTTCTTCTCTGTCATTAGCTAGTGTGGATGCAGACTTCTTAACTGCTGGCAGAAAATGGGGGATAAATCCAGAGCCTGTACTCTGAAAAATTCTACATTACACAGAGCAAAGGTCATCCCAAACATCATTCTAAATGGCTGTATCTCCACCAGTTTTATGGATAGACCATCTTCCATGTATCCATTCTCTAATAGATGAACACTACAGGCTTACTTTTTTTGCTAGTGATGAAACTCTTGTGTGTAAATCTTTGAGTTATTTTCTTAGGACACATGGAATCAATATATATGGGCTAATATACTAATGAACTTTGCAATATGGCCCTCAGTGAATCATGCTTCCCTGTACACAGGCACTCCTGAGTGTATACCTTCTCTTGAGCAGTCCCCTCCCACACTGATTCTTTGGCCAAAGGGATACTAGCGGATGTGGTTTACACAGTCTTGAGAAGCATTTCCATTGGGGGCATGCCCTCCCTTGTCTGAGCCAGCACAGGAGGAGGAGAGAATCCAAGTGCCACCAGCTGAGGTCCCAGTGATGTGAATGAGGCCATTTAGCTCCAGCCAAACTGACCCAGCACAAAAGAACCATTCAGTGAACCCACAGAATCAATACATGTCTGTTGTTTTTAAATGAGCACCCTTTGGGGCAGTTCATTATACAGCAAAAACGAGTCAAACAATGTCTAAAGCTACTGATCCCGAAAGCTTAATTACTTTACAGGTGAAATGAGCATTACCTAGAACAGTAAAAATCAGAAGTAACCAAAATGTCTTAAAATAAACAATAGCTGGCCAGGTGCAGTGGCTCATGCCTGTAATCCTAGCACTCTGGGAGGCTGAGGTGGGTGGATTGCCTGAGCTCAGGATTTCCAGACCGGCCTGAGCAAGAGTGAGACCTGGTCTCTAAAAATAGCCAGGTGTTGTGGTGGGCACCTGTAGTCTCAGCTACTCAGGAGGCCGAAGCAAGAGAATCGTGTGAGCCCAAGAGTTTCATGTTGCTGTGAGTTGTGACACCATGGCACTCTACCAAGGGTGACATAGTGACACTCTGCCTAAAAAAAAAAACAATAGCTCAGCTATTCACAATAGTAAAGATATGGCGGTGGAGCCAGCAGGGTGGACGGGCGGCATGCGGCTCAGCCAGGCAGTGCACGCGGCCCGGCGAGTTTGTTGGTCACTACAGACCCATGACAAGGCCCAGGCCTGCCCACAGGATGCTTTAAGAAAAATGGCCCTGGCAGCCCAACAGATACCTAGATGGTTCAACTCAATTAAATCAAGTAGCTTTATTAATGCTACACAACTTACAAAACGTTTTACAAGACCAGGAAAAACATTGTTGCCTGGCTTTTCTGCTCAGGCTCAGATGTCTTCTGAGAATTACTTTTTCCAGTAGGGGTTTAGGAGTTACCAGACTTCCTCCTTATGGAATAGTTCCCAACAGACCAACTCGAATAGTCAAGGGAATTATCCTGCCCAAAGCATTCTGCTTCCTTCCATGAGTGAACAGTCATCACAGAAGGCACAAGAGATACCCAACTTTGATTCTGAGCTGTCTTTAGAAGGACTGGATGACTTGCCTCCATTATCACCATTGCAGCCAGTTTCCGAGGAGGAGGCTAATTCAGATTATTGCAGCCCCTCCATTGCCCCCAGGTTCATTCACACTCCGAGACTATGTAGATCATTCTGAGACTCTGCAGAAGTTAGTGCTTTTAGGAGTGGAACTTTCCAAGATAGAAAAACATTCAGATGCAGCCAACCTCCTTCTAAGACTGGATTTTGAAAAAGATGTAAAGCAAATACTTGTCTTTCTTAAAGATTTTGGTATAGAGGATAACTATCTGGGAACATTCCTAACTAAAAATTATGCTATTTTCTCTGAAGACCCTGAAGATCTTAAGACCAAGGTAGCTTATCTACAGTCAAAAAATTTCAGTAAAGCAGATGTTGCACAGATGGTCAGAAATGCGCCATTTTTGCTGAATTTTTCAGTAGAAACACTGGATAACAGATTGGGATTTTTTCAGAAAGAACTCAAACTTAGTGTGAAGAAGACTAAAGATCTGGTCGTTCGTCTCCCAAGGCTACTAACTGGAAGTCTGGAGCCCGTGAAGGAAAATATGAAGGTTTGTCATCTTGAACTTGGTTTTAAACATAATGAAATTCAGCATATGATCACCAGAATCCCAAAGATATTAACTGCAAATAAAAGGAAACTTACTGCGATCTTTGAGTATTTACACAATGTAATGAATATTCCCCACCACATCATTGTCAAGTTCCCACAGGTATTTAATACAAGGCTGTTTAAAGTCAAAGAAAGATACTTGTTTCTCACCTACTTAGGAAGAGCACGGTATGATCCAGAAAAGTCTAACTACATCTCTTTGGACAAATTAGTATCTATTCCTGATGAAATATTTTGTGAAGAGCTTGCCAATGCATCAGTGCAGGACTTTGAAAAATTCTTAAAAACGCTCTAGTTTTTAATAAATATTAAAATTTAATATTTCAAAGTCAATGTTTATATGAATACGTGTTTTTAAATAAATGTCTCAGGTCTTGGGAAAAAAAAAGATATGGCATTGACCTTAATGTCCATCAATAGACAATTAGATAAAGAAAATGTGACACACACACATACACAGACACACACACAGACAATTCCATTCAGCCATAAAAAAGAAGGAAATCATGTCTTTTGCAGCAACATAGATGGAACTGGTGGTCGTTATATTAAGTGAAATTACTCAGAAACAGTCAAATACTGCATATTCTTACTTATAAATGGTAGGAGATAATGTGCACATGTGGACATAGAGAGGGGAATAACAGACACTGGAGATGCAGAGGGTAGGAGGCTGGGGGCGAGAGGGGAAAGTACCTAATGGGTCTGGTATACACTCTTCGGTTGATGATTACACTAGAAGCCCAGACTTCACAACTATGCACGATATCCATGAAACAAAACTACACTTGTACCCCCCAAATTTATAAATATGGGGGGGGTGACAGCACGGTTGTAAGATTATATCAATGTAGGCAGCTCCTACAGACCATGTTCCCAAAGGCCAGGTGGACAGACACATCGTCAACAGGACAGAACAGCTCATGGCCACAGACTACACGCATAGGACATGCATGCAGGGTAGCAACCAGCTGAGCTCTGCAGGGGGAGGAAGAAAATGGATGTCTTAAAGGCAAATAAAGCCATTTATTTAGCAAAAAGGACTCCAAAGTAGGCAGAGAATGACAATTCCAGGAAAAACATTTCTATTTTCCAAAAATCTTCTTTTTCTGTGAAGGAACACATATCGTCTCTGCTGTGTACTCTTTATTTTTTTCCTACAACTCTCTGCAGGCTGTGAGCCAGATTCGGCCCATAGGACATAATAATGTGATGATCCCAATTCTAAAGCATTGTCAAAGCCAAGTATTTGGGTGCCAAGAGTAGATGTGATCCCAAGAGGGGTCTTTAAGAGGGAAACCACCTAAAGTTCCAGGAAATCAGATGGTTTTGCTGTAACCCCTTTTGGTTACTGGCAAACTCTAGCCTACAGGCAAAACCTGACCCAGCACTTGTTTTTCCAAATAAAGTATTATTGGAACACAAGCACACCCGTCTGTTTACATACCATCCATGACGGCTTCACTGTTTCATGGCAGAGCTGAATGGTTGCACCAGATACCATATGGCTCTTTACAGAAAAATATTTCCTGCCAACCCTGAATTAGAACATTGGTCTCAGGTTTTGAGTCCTGACTCTTCCTACAGACCTTGTGCAGTGACTTCCACTCTGGTGGCCTCAGTACCCAGCTCACTGGCATACTCTGAGGATTGTCTGCAATTCCTTAGTCCCAAGAAGTTTTTCATTTTGACATTTCTGAAACTGGAATGCACCTTATAAGCAATGCCATTTTATAATTAGAATTAATAGTGATTTTTTTCTTCCTGAGCAGTCCATAATAAATAACAGGGCCTCTCCTAATGTCTGAGATGTGATAAAGGAAATGCCGTATGTGAAGTGCTGCGTGTGCTGGGCACACAGTGAGCTCTGAGTATAGCCTCACTGTGCTTTGGCTCTTTGCCGTCAATTCTGTCTCTTGTGCATCTCTCTCTGCATTTGCCCACCAACTTGCAAGTGTCCGGGATGAAAAAGAGGCACCTAACAAACAGTCACTTCTTAAGGTTTTAAGTGATTCATTCCCAGTTTCACAGAACTCCTTCTAAAGCAAAATGAATCTCCTGTCATTGGCAAGAAGAACACAGCTGGAAACAGTCATCATCTGACTTAGAGGACACCACTGAAAAGCAGCCTAAGAAACTGAGGAAAGAAGTTTGTGTTGGCACTTCTGACCCATTTCCCTGGAAGGCCGCATGTGAAGACTCTAAGTCCCAACAACACAGTGTCTGATGAGAGAGAAGCACTTAGGTCAGAATTTAAGCAGAGAAATGCATGTGCCCAAGCATCAAAGCCCTTACCTCATCACCATATCGCCGATAACTCACTTCATACAGCACAATCAGACCATTGGGTTCCTTTGGCTCCTGCCACATTAAGTGAACAATGTTGTTCTCGAAGATTTCATGGGTCACGGGGCCTACGATGTCATCAGCCTTGGCTGTAAGAGGTTAGAGGCAGGGTTGTAACTCTCAGATTGGAACCCACTTCTGCCACCTACAAGCTGAGCAATGTGGAGGTAGTTATATAATTTTCCACAGCCCACTTAATATTTAAATAGCCAGGTGCTGTGGCTGATGCCTATAATCATAGCATTTTGGAAGTCTGAGGCAGGAGGTGCGCTTGAGCCCAGAAATTTAAGACCACCTGGACAATATAGTGAAACCCCATCTCTACAAAAAAATCTAAAATTTGCTAGGCAGCTTTCATAGGGCCATTGCACTCCAGCCTGGGCAACAGAGCAAGACTCTATCTCCGAAACAATAATAATAATAATAATGATAAAGGCAACTAAGGTGAAGTATACATATATTCTGCCTCGGCAGTGAGGAGCTAGTCCTTGGGCAGCCTACACTAAGGAAGCACAGCCCTGGGTGGGGTGGGGAGCAGCCCACCTTCAGGCATGGTCCTGGCACTGACATAGGCCGCCACACTGCACCGCTCGTCCGGGGCATCTTGGTTGCAAGCTTGCAGCTCAATGCGATAGCCCGTGAAGTGTCGCAGGCCAGAGATGACCAGTGACTCTTTATTCACCACTTTCTCAAAGGGCCTGTGCTCCTCTGGGCTTGTGGGCATGATGGTTGAGGAGATATTGGGGAAACCTGGGACAGTGGGCACAGCCACCATCGTCACATTTCCAACTTCGCCGAGAGACCTGCGCTTCCGAGATGGCCTGGAAGGAGGACAAAGGGGCACACATGAACACGTCATCGCCATCCTTAAAAAAATGACACTAGAGGCTCGGCGCCTGTGGCTCAAGCAGCCAAGGCACCAGCCACATACATCTGAGCTGGTGGGTTTGAATCCAGCCCGGGCCCACCAAACAATGATAGCTGCAACCAACAAAAAAAAAAAAAAAAATAGCCAGGCATTGTGGCTTAGGTAGGTTTAAACCCACCACCCTTGGTATATGGGGCCGGCACCTAACTCACTGAGCCACAGGCACTGCCCTCTTTCCTTTGTTTTTAACTGGGTTAAGATAGAAAAATCCTAGTTCACACAGACTAGTTGTTGCGAAGGGTAATAAGAGAAGGACACTCTTTCTACTGAGCAAAGGAAAGTCTTCCTTTATCTTAATCCAAAAATGCTGATAAACCTAATGTCTCATAATCATTCTTCAATGTACATGAAGAAATAAGCTGCAATAATTCATTTTCCTCTTCAGGTACCAAGTTTAGCTCAATTATTGACTCAGGGTTTTTCTCTAAGTTAGGAATTTTTAATTAACAGTATTAAATGAGATGATACAATTTTCTTTACTGTGCCTCTCATTGTAGGAGAAATCAGATCTTCTGATCCTAAACCATCCTTGCATTTTGAACATAAACAATATTGCCAGTGCAATGTTTTATCAGGAACATTTTAATCTAACCTCATATATTACCTTGGTCAGTGTTTTTTGCTTTTTTTTTCCCCCTAGGTATAACAATCTTTGTCAGCTTCTACTAAGGATGTTATTTTAGTTTCACAAAATGAACTGGGTTGATTTCCATTCACTTCTGGGACAGTTTTTATATTACAGTAAATAGTTGCTCTTTCAGGTCTTGAAAAGAACTCATCTACAAAACTCTCTGCCCAGGCATGACGACTCATGGCTGTAATCCTAATACTCTGGGAGGCCAAGGCAGATGGATTTCTTGAGCTCAGGAGTTTAAGACCAGCCTGAACAAGAGTGAGACCCCATCTCTACTAAAAATAGAGAAGCTAGCTGGATGTGGTGATGGGCACCCGTAGCTCTAGCTACTTAGGAGGCTGAGACCAGGGGATCATCTGGGCTAGGGATTTTGAGGTTGCTGTGAGTTATGATACCATAGCACTCAATCCAGGATGACAGAGCAAGACTCTGTCTAAAAAGAAAGAAAACACCCACAACTCTCTGGGCTCAAAGACTTTAATCAAGAAAATTAATTGACATATATCTTTTTCCAAAAGTTCTAAACTATACAATTTTTATGCTTCTTTTTCAGTCAGTTTAGCCAGTTTCAAGTTTTTTATCTCACTAAAACTTTCAAATTTAACAGGACACAGTTTTCCTGAGATCTCAATATACTAAAATTGTCTTCAGGCCTTAGATTTATGTTATCTTTATTTCCTTCTAGTTTTTTGTGTTTTTTCCCTTGGGTTACATTTACCCCAGGGTTAGTTATTACCAATTTTCTCCTGCCTCATGAATACATTTATATCTCGACATATTTAAGGTTGTTTCTTAATTTGTGGATCCATCAAAGCCTACTAACTTTTATCAAAGCCCACTTTTGAAAACATTCTATAAGTTAAGGTATGTGACAGTCACAGGTCACATTGTCATCATTTTCCAAATGGGCTTCAATGGAAGCTTCCATCTCTTCTTTGACCCAACAGATATTTAAGTAATTATCTTAAGTGATTGACTTTTTAACCACTGAGAAGTAGAGTTTTCTGTTCAAACTTCTGAAGTTAACATTCAGTTTTCATTGCATTATGAGAAAACCCATGGTCAGAACACAAAGCCAACTCTGGAGGAGTACTTATTTTCTTTGTGGTTTTTTTGGTACTGAAAGAACCACCACCTTCTTGGATGGAAAAGAACCCAGCTCCATCACTTATAAGCTAAAGATATAACCAGAATATTTCTGTCCAGGCACAAATAGGCATTGCAAAAATAACCAAAACGTTGCTGCCTCATGAATAGAGAAATTTGTAACTGGAAAACCAGAGATATAAAACGGTTTCATCAAACAAGCCAAACAGGTATCAACATACATGGCAAAAGAATTCTATACCACCAGACCATAAAGTGGTAAAGAAAGACCCTAATGCCAGAGAACCAGCTGAGTCTTCCACTCGGACACAGGCAGCACTTCAATCTCGCACCAGACCAGGTTCTCAACCAGGGGTAGTTCTGCTTCAAGCCCCAGGGGGACATTTTGGCAATGTCTGGAGACCTTTTTAGTCACTACTTCAGGGGGGGAGATACAGTGCTGGTGTCAAGTGAATGGAGGCCAAATGTGCTGCTCAGCAGTCTATAGGGCACCAGGATGGTCCCAGCCCCTGAGAATGACCCAGCCCCAAATTATCAAGAGGACAGACATTGAGAAATCCTGCTTTGGACCAACAAGCACACACTCAGGCTTTTTCTGCATTGGGGATTATATTCCACACGGCCACTAGAGGTCAGATCAGGCCACACAAGTGTCTGGGGAAAAATAAATGAACACGCTGCTAAAAAGAAGAAAATCCCTCAATTTGGCCCCAACCTCTCCTTTCTAATCCCACCTCCTGTTCTTCCCAAGAGTTCCATCTCTCCTTTGTCTTTCCCTGAGTTCTGCGGGCTCTACAAATCCGCCCCTTTGTTCTGGAATGTGCAAGTTTGAAGGCAATTGTCCCTGGCTCTCCTCAGTGGAATTCAGCAAGGGACATGGTATCGATCCTCTTTGCTCAGGCCATGTCTCCCTAAATAAAAATGTTCTTCCAAATCAGTCTTCCCCCATTGAGCAGGAGGAGATGAGGGGCTGCATGGGCCTCAGGCTCCTTGATGGTCCCTCCACAGAAGCGCGCAGGTACATGCATGCACACACACACACACACACACACACACACACACACACACGCAGGAGCACACAGCTCTGCAGGTGCAGGCAGGAGGCATGGATAGATGTTTAGCAAGTGGACAGTGGACAGTGTGCGGGACAAACAGGGACAAGGTGACCCAGAAAGTACCCCTGTGATTCTGTTTAAGGAAGAGTGTATTAGTTAAGATTTTCCCCCATTTGTGCCCAGATCCCATTTCAGAGTGAAGGACATTTAATTTGTGAATTTAGGAAGTATCTGCTCTCCAGTGCAGAAGGCTATCCATGCAACAAGCCACAGAACCCCTGGTCTCCAAGGAGCATGGCGTGCCCTCTGCCCCGCCCTGAGCAACCACTGGGGGCCACACAGGATAAGTCGTACCTAGGATCCTCAGCACCAGTTCCAGAAGAGGTTTTTCTGTAAAAACAAAACCAACTGCTTTGAGGACAGACAGAACTCCCTTAGATAGGCTGTTCGACACCCTGGAAGTGACATTCTGTCCAAGCAAGAGTGCCCTGCCTTTGGCCAGGGACCATTCAAACCCATCACATGCTGGAGGAAATGGGTTGTACCTTCCCCAGCAGATGCAGGGGATTCCTCAGTATTCCTCAGACACCTGACCCTCTGGGAGAGCCCCTGGGATGTCAAATTTTACTATATTTTGTTTTTTTAAGACAGGGTCTTGTGCTGTCACCCAGGCTGGAATGAAGCGGCATCATCACAGCTCATTACAACCTCTAACTCCTGGACTCAAGTGATCCTCCTACCTCAGCCTCCCAATTAGCTGGGACTATAGGTGGTTAATTTTTAATTTTTTGTAGAGATAGCATCTTGCTATGTGGCCCAGGCTAGTTTCAAACTCCTGGCCTCAAATGATCCTCCCATCTCAACCTCCCAAGGTACTGAGATTACAGACATAGACCATTGCGCCTGGCCTTAATTTGAGTACATTTAGACATCACAACCGACTCAGCCTTTCCTCCAAGTCCTGGAACATTTTATTTTTAACCAATGAAACAGTAACTGCTTTAATGCCTGGGCTATACCACTGAATGCTTTTCTGGACTCAGGGTCATAGGGGGAAATACAAGAAAGAAAGACAAAGAAACACTACATATTGATGGGTCCTGTTGGTGGATATTTGAACAGACTCGTTGTAGAACCTCACTCCACTTGCAGTTTCCACTGTGGAAATGCACAATAGTATCAGATATGTCAGGGTGGCCAACCACTAAAGTTCTAGGCAAGGGAGGCAGAAAAAGTTGGTGGGGTGGGAGGGGGCCCAGCTGTGGGCACATCAGTTTACACTCAAAAGCCCACATCCCTGGAGCTTTGCAATGACATGTGGCAGTTCCTAGAAGTATTTCTGGTTGTCATGACTGGGGTAGGGTGCGGGAGAGGTATCAGATAAGTGAAATCCACTCAGCACCCCAAGGTGCACAGATGCCCCCACTACAGAGAATGGCCTGGTTCTAAATGTTGATAGTGTCAAGGCTGAGATCCCTGTGTAACTCATTTACTCTCACAGCTCTAAAAGTCAGAAATGATTATTATGGCCATAGTACAGATGAGGAAACAGGCACAGAGTGAGGTGAAGTAACCTCCACACTGGTATACAGAAGGGCAGGGAACTCAGGTGGTCAATCTGGAGAGTCCTCACCACAATCTGCTCTGCTCCTCTCCCTCTTGGGCACTGCAGAAGAGAAATGTGCATGAGAAGGGCCCAGCTAACCTGTACTTGTAAATGTCTGTTCCTGTCTGCAGCACAAATTAGGCTAAAAAAGATAGTGACCCATGGCCATGGGAACCTGCCTTTACCTAAGTGTCTTTGCTTGCAGGAAAGGTAGCATGCGCTAAAAAGTCTAGTGTGTCTGGACACAATGGCTCATGCCTGTAATCTCAGCACTCTGGGAAGGTGAGACAGAAGGATCACTTGCGGCAAGGAGTTCAAGACTACCCTGGGAAACACAGCAAGACCCCTCCTCTAAAATTCTTTTTTCCCTAATTAGCTGAATGTGAGGATCACACCCACATTCCCAGCTACTTAGGAGTCTAGAGCAGAAGGATTTCTTGGCCCTGGAGTTCTAAGCTACAGTAAACTATGACTGCACCACTGCACTCCTGCCTGGGTGACAGAGTAAGACGCTATCTATCGCCAAAAAAAATAAAAAATAAAAATAGTCTAGCATAATTTTACTGCCAAGCCTGCCAATAGATCAGGTATCAAGACCCTTGTCTCACTAAAGAAAATTCAATATATTTAAACAGGAGACACCTCCGGGTTGTAGATGATTCTGTGGAAAATTTCAGGTGAAAAAGAAAGTTATACAAGTAAAAAAGGGGGAGAAAGAGTGAGAGAGAGTGTGCTGAGTTTAAGACCCAGTGATAAGTCAAGCATGGGACGCCAGGCAGACATTTCTCAAAATCTGCCTCAACAATCTAACGGGGTTTGTTTCAGAACTCAGAGAACCGGTTCAGGAGACATAAGGAAGACAAATGTTGGGTTTTGTAAAGTTTTCCCTTTTTGTGTGATTATTTGTTCTTCCTACTAAGGTTCCTGTTGAAATCATGAAATCTCTTCCTCCACCCAGGAGAGGGCTCTGCTCTGGACCCTGCCCACCTTCCCATGATCTCTGGGTCACACTGCATCCTTCCCCGTGGTCCTTAAATAATGACCCCCCAACACCAAGCCAACGGACACCCACTAAGAGGGCCCAGGGCCACTTGGAGTCCTGACCTGGGCACGAAGACCACGTTGTGCAGGTAGTCCTCAAACGTCTTCCTAAACGAGGACTCCTCCAGCTCCTTCAGGATCTGAGAGTCTGTTTTGGGGCAGGAGCAGCACTCGCCAGCCGAGTCCTCGTACTCACTCTGGTTGTGCTTCTGAGAGTCCTCAGACTCAAACGGTGGAGACCACGTCCGGGAGGGCAGCTTCAACCCTGCAGAAAAACAGAGAAGGCCCAATTTTTCTGGTACCACACACACCTCCAGGAAGAGTTAAGGAGCCTTCCCAGCAGTATTAGCTGGGTGTGGTGGCACACAACTGTAGTCCCAGCTACTCAGGAGACTGAGGCAGGAGGATCACTTGAGGCCAGGAGTTGGAGGCTACAATGAGCTAAGATGAAGCCATGGTACTTCAGCCTAGATAACTGAGTGTGACCCTGTCTCTTAAAAACATAGCACCCCCAGATACCTTCTGTCCTTTTACTCTGACCTGTGACCCATAACTGTGTACTTAAGAGTTTATTGTAGAATGTAAGTCCATTGAGGACAGGCATTGTCTAGTTACCTTAAATGTCCATTCCTGAGACTGGATAGGAAGTTTCTAAGACATGCCACCACACCCAGCTAATACTTGTGCTTGTTTTAGAGATGGGGAGTCTCACTATATTTCCTAGGCTGGTCTCAAACTCCTGGCCTCAAGCAATCTTCCTACTTTGCCCTCCCAAAGTGCTGGGATTACAGGCAAGAGCCACTGTGCCCGGCCAGTACTTTTTTTTGGATTGATCTCAGAGAAAGTAGCCACTGAGCAATGCTCTATAAAGGAATGAGCCATGCACATATTTTGGTGTAAACCAATTCAAATGAAGCCAAAAGCAACTGCAAAGTCTCTTGAGTCTCAGGAATTTTCTTAGCCCATCAAAAGACGCCAAGAATGACCCAACGCAATGGCTCACACCTATAATCTTGGCACTCTGGGGGGCAGAAGGTGGAGGATTACTTGAGTTCAGGAGTTTGAGACCAGCCTAAGCAAGAGCAAGACCCCATGTCCACAAAAAAAAAAAAAAAAAATAGAAAAATTAGCTGGGCATGGTGGCACAGGCCAATAGTCCCAGCTACTCAGGAGGCTGAGGCAGGAGGATCACTTAAGCCCAGGAGTTTGAGGTTGCTGTGAGCTGTGATGGTGCCACTGCACTCCAGCCAGGGGCAGCAGCAGAGCGAAACTGTGTCTCAAGAAACAAACCAACCAAAAAGCCAATGTACCGAGAAGGGGGATTAAGGGCAGATGGTGGGAAGTGAGTTAGAAAAAGATGATGGGGCCAGACTGCAGCTAAATAAATGAAAGAAATAATCAACCAACCACTCAAATAGGAGAGGGCAGAGCAGAACTCCAGAGGGAATTCTAAGGGGACCCTCTGTGAATCCAGAATCAGACTCAGTCAGCCAGTGATTTCAACCCATGGGCAATCTTGTTCCCTGTTTTCCCCTCATCAAGAACATGGGACAATCTCTGGACACATCTGTGGCTGTCAAGACTGGGCTGGGGTGCTTCTGGTACCTTGTGGGTGAAGACCAGGGAAGCTGCTCCATACCCTACAGTGCCCAGATAGCAGCAACGCTCAAGGAGAAAAACTCTAAACTAAAGACACAAGAGGAGGTCAAAGAGGGAACTTTTCAAATATGCATGGAAAAGGGAATTAAAAATTGAAAAGAAACGGGTAACAGTCCCTAAAAATACAAAACTTTTCTTTAAGTACAAGGATGGCCATCAAGTTCCAGGGGCTCTGGTGACTCAAGGGGTGAGCCCAGCCACTCCACTCGCACAGCCACAACAGTGGACGTGACTGCACAGGCACAGCCGACAGCCCCAGACCCACTGAGTGCCTGGTGTCTGCCTAGCATTGACCAAGCAGAGGAAGTGCCATTTTCCCCTCCCTTTAAGGCCTTGGGAGTAGGCAATCAGCTCTCCATGAACGTCTCAAGTACCGTACCCTCCCGTGAACAGTGAGAACCCACTGAGAAGCCCGAGTATGTATGCAGCTCGGAAGGCCTACAAGGAACTCCAGAAAATGCTTCTTACATTTATGAATAGACAGAAAATCTTAGCTGGGTTGACTCTAGTTAACAGCATTTACAGGAGAAGAAAAATGTAGGACTACCTTAGCAAGGGGCACTCCTAACATCTTTCTGGAGAGAAAGATCTAGTGAGGCACAAGTGACCCACCTGCTTTCCACTCTCTATATCCACTGCATGGAATGTGGGGGCCCCGTGGTTTTTCTGAGACTATGGAAAGAAAGCACGGTGAAGTCCCCAGAGTCATCAGGTCCACAGAAACAGAAAGTAGAAGGTGGTGCCAGGGGCTGGGGAGGGGGTAGGGAGTTGGTGTTTCATGGGGAAAGAGTTCCAGTTTGGGATAATGAAAAAGTTCTAGAAACGGAGGGTGGTAACAGTTACATAGCACTGCAAGTGTGCTTAATGTCACTGAATAGCACATGTTAAAATGATAAATTGTATGCGATATGTATTTTACCACAATTTAAAACACTCATATAGAATAAATAAACTCATTAACCATGTCCAGTAGTAGCTTCCTATTAGTAACTAAGTAGTGTGACTTTTTTATTGTGACCACTTTTAAGTGTGCCATGCCACACATTCACAATGTTGGGTAACCATGACCACCCTCCACTTCTAGAACTTTCTCATCTCCCCAAATGAAACTCTGTCCCCATGAGACACAGCCTCCCCATCCCAGCCTACAGCATCCACCTTTCTGCTTCCTGTCTCTGTGAACCTGACCACTCTAGGATGCTTCTATGGGCTAGGTCACACAGTGTTTGCCCTAAGTAAGTTTACTTTAAATTATATAAACATTGTGATAATTGCAAATAAACCCATGTCTAAACAGTTGCATGAAAAAAATAAAATAAACAGTTGCATGGTGATCAGAGATTTAGACTTTCAGAATTAAAAAAAAAAAAAAAGGAAAGCTTTGACTGACATTGCTGGTGGCTCTAGCTGATGGTTTTGGTTATTCAAATGCAAGGCCAATGGTTTGAAGCAGAGCCAACGCCTGGACTCGCCCCCAGAGTTATATAAAGCATCCAGGGAGATAAATCACATTTGCAACCCTCAGGTCAGGCAAGGATGATGTCACAGGCACACATATAGCACATGATCTTAGAGCTGGGACAGTTCCCAGAGATCATCTGTCCTCCCGCCCCTTTTCCCAAAAAGGAGGCAGATGGTGACTTGCTTGGGGGCTTTGCTAACACCCTACAGCAGGTCAGGGGCCAAGCGAAAAGCATACCTCAAATTCTGGGCCTCTGGGCCTCTGCCACACCAGGCCTCGCCCAGCAGCCCTCCTGGCCTTCTTCTCCAAGGTCATGGCTAAGGATGTTATCACTAACTGAAAATACCTCAAGAAAATGAAATCAAGATCAACAAGCCAAAACTAAGGGGAAAATAAAGGCTGCTACTTCTCTAGTTTGGCAGGGATTTTGTTTTGTTTTTTTTATTTTTGAGACGGAACCTTACTCAGGCTGGAGTACAGTGATGTCACAAAGGCTCATTGCCTTGGAGGGCTTAAGTGATCCTCCTACCTCATCTTCCTAAGTAGCTGGGAACTTGGGTGCACCCCACCACACTCAGCTAACTTTTTTACTTTTTGTAGAGATGGAATCTTGCTATGTGGCCCAAACTCCTAGCCTCAAGCGATCTGCCTGCCCCTGGCCTCTCAAAGCATTTGGGATTTCATCTGTAGGCGAATCTCATCCAGCCCTTTTTGTTGGATTTGCTTTTGTTTTTCAAATCTAGTTTTATAACTTTAAACTAATGTATACACTAATTTGAGACCGCAACTATTTTTCTGTTTTCCTTCAGGTGGATGAGAGTCCATTAAAGAGGCAAGATTTTTTTTAAAAAAACTGTCATTTGTATACATTTTTAATTGAAAATTTAGGAGGAGGAGAAGCAATGATCTCTCCTTGCTGCCTGCAAGCCTTGGAACTGAAGGGCCTCACTAGAGCCAAAATCTTCGCCTGACCCTGTCTACAACCTCTCAACACAACTGGTTGCGTGTCATCTTTGCCCAGGAGAGCCCTGTGAGGTCTCACACAGCTGCACCCCCTTGGTTTGAGCAGGGGAGGAAGAAGAAAGCGGGGGAAATTCAGAGAAAATGGCTGGTTTGAGCATGTGTCCTGGATGTGCATGTGTGTGTAGAACACTGTTTAAAAATGTGTGTTTGGCTTGGCGCCTGTGGCTCAAGTGGCTAAGGTGCCAGCCACATACACCTAAGGTGGGGAGTTCGAATCCAGCCCGGGCTCCAAACAACAATGACAGCTGCAACCAAAAAACAGCCGGGGGCTGTGGCAGGCGCCTGTGGTCCCAGCTACTTGGGAGGCTGAGGCAGGAGACTCGCTTGAGCCCAGGAGTTGGAGGTTGCTGTGAGCTGTGATGCCAGGGCACTCTACCCAGGGGGAAAGCTTGAGGCTCTGTCTCAAAAAAATAAATAAATAAGTAAATAAATAAAATAAAAATGTGTGTTTGTGTAAGAGGAACAGAGTCGCTGGGACTGCCCACGCCCACAGACCTCCACTGCGCCCAGCAGGGCGGCACTCACCTTTGAGGCAATAGTCCAGCTCATATAGCTCGCTGTCTTCCGCCTGCCTCTCCCAGAAAACCAGGTAGTGAGTGATGTTGCCATTGGGGTCAGAGGGGGGCTTCCACTTCAGAAGAATCTGGGATGAGGAATTAGAAACCGAGATGGGGTCCAGGGGGACGGAAGGATCTGCAAAGGAGAAAGGACACAGGGCCATGGTGAGGGAGAGCGCAGGGGCGAGGAGGGAGGGACACCCCGGTGAGGAAGTCGCAAGTGTGTTAGCTGTGGTGACACTCAGCACCGAGAAAACAGGGGAGGGCGCGGGTGCGCTCAGCCGTGGCCCTGGCGCGGGTCTCGGTCGGCTCGCGGGTCCACCCGGCTCACACGCCCACAGAGCTCACCGGCGCCACGCACTCCTGGGCCCCGGGAAGAAGCCACCGCGGAGACTGAGGACAGCGGTTAACGTCTGCCCCTGCGCCGCAGTGAGCCTGGTCACAGGGCAGACGCGAACCCTTCGGATGGCCTCCTTAAACTGGCATCAGACACCCCAACAACGCGCTGCCTTTGGGTGCTGTAAATCTTCCCCTCAAGAAAGGAGGTGGCTGAAGGAGTTGGGAGGGTGTGGAGGTACAAAGACCTGAAGTCTGGAAAGCTGGAAGTTTCTGGAAGCTATGCATCTTTTAGTATTGCTAGAGGACACAGGGTAAGAGGGTACCTGTTGAAGGAGAGGGCTTATGCATAAAGTCTGGACTCCGTCCTCCCGTATGGCAGCCTCAGCACTGTGGACTTTGGGGCTGGATAATGTGTCATGGGGGGAGGGGCATCCCTGGTTCCCACCCACTAAATGCCTGGAGTCCCATCTCCCCAACTGCGACCAAAAGTAACTGGTCATTGCTGCTTTCACCTCCCACTTGAGAACTACCGCTCTAGGAGAAGGACTTCTGCTTTATCAAAATACAACTAGATTGCTGTGAAGCACTGCAGCCCTCCTCTCCCCCCTAACAGGGACCCTGAAGCAGGAAGACAGAGAAAGACTAAAATAGCCGGAGGCAAAGCTGAGGGGGTGGCTGAATGGGGTGGTTCCTCCTTGCATGCTATAAAATATCTGAATTTTTTTTTAGTGGGAAGCAAAAAATATATATTCCCCACAGGTGGCTTGTTGCTCATGTTCTCATCTTCTCAGAACATAAGCCCCAATACCAAGCTCCTTTAAAAGCCAATGACAACTCAGGTATCAGCCTGTCGGAGGTAGGATGTTTCAACACATGGGCAAAGTCACAGTCACAGGACACACTCACTGGTGGCATCTGTCTGGACATAAATGATGTCACTCTTGGCCCCATAGGTCCGGCGTTCATCTGAAAAGGTGACCAGGGTCTTGACAAAGATGGCATACTGGGTCCAGGGCTTGAGACCACGCATTAGCCACCCAGGGTGGTTCTGAGACTTGGGGTCATTGGACCTCAAAGGGGGGTCCACGTCCACCACTGTCCAGCTGTTGGAACCACAAGCGTCCTGCCCGTCGAACTCTGTCACATTCTTATAAGGGCTTTCAAGACAAAACAGGAAGGTAATGGTTACCTTTATGTACCTACCACCCTGAGCACCATGCAGATGGACCCTGGGGATCTTTTTTTGTGGGGAGATGGTACATCCTATAGGGTTGTTTTTTTGTTTGTTTGTTTGAGACAGGATCTCCCTCTGTCCCCCAGACTAGAATGCCGTCGCATCATCATAGCTTACAGCAGCCTCAAATTCCTGGGCTCAAGCAATCCTCCTGCCTCAGCCTCTTAGGTAGCTGAGGCACCTGGGACTGGTAGCTGAGGGACTATAGGCACCTGCCACAACCCCAGCTAACTTTTCTATTTTTAGTAGAAACAGGGTCTTGCTCTAGTTCAGGCTGGTCTCAAACTCCTGGCCTCAAGCAATCCTCCCCCCATGGCCTCCCCAAGTGCTGGGATCACAGGCGTGAGCCACCATGCCCTGCCCCATTTATCAGGCTTTGAGAAAAGGAGACATACATGTCTGTGCATACTGTCAACAGGTGAGATCATGAAAAGGAACCTAGGATATTTACTCCAGGAAGGAGACAGAAAGGAACCAGAAAAGGGAGTTCTGAGCGAACTACCACAGCCCTCATCTCCTCTCCAACTCTCCACTCTCCTACTTACGCCTCTTTGTAGAACAGCATAAAGCCCAAGAGGTCTCGGAAGTCGGGGGGCCAGTAAGGCTCCCATTTCAGCAAGATCTTGTCAAAAGATGTCCGAATGTAAGAAAATTTAAGTAATTCATTTTCACCTAGAAAAGTTAAAAAAGAGAAATTAATAAAACAGACAACATCAGTATCAAGCAGTTAGTTTCAGGGCCAAGTGCATGACCCCACACTTCCTTGAGGGCCTGGGTAAAGGGAGAGACTAGTCTGCTGGGCCTCGTCTCTCTGAGTGTAGAAATGGGGAGACTGAAAAGCTGGAATTAATTGTGTGGCTAGGTCCCCCACACAAGCCAGTTACCCAGATGGCACTCAATGCAGTGTAACCAAGCCCAAGCGCACACTACCAGCCACACAATTCTCAGTTTGCTAGCTCTCCAAATAAAGTTGCTTTCCTAGCCCAGCCCCTACACCTTGTCTCTGGACGTACTGGCTGTCATGTGTCAAGGGATGTGAGCTTGGACAACCAGCCAAGAGTTACCAGGAGAAGAGACTTTTCAAGAGTCATGTTCTTCCTGATACAATTGTGTCTTGCATGCGGACTCACTTGCAAGCCTCATCTGGCAGAAGATGCAACACCAGTCTATCTAAATAAATACACACCAAGTGAGTTCATGCAGCCTGTGGGTCACTACAGCAGCAGTTGTTCTCAACCTTCCTAATGCAGCGATGTCTTTTCATTATTACAAAGGGGTTGTGACCCACTGGCTTAGAGAGACATGTCTGTCAAGAAAAGAAACCTCCTCCTAAAGCAAGCATCCAACTTCGCACTCTCCTGGAGCTACATTTTGCCATAAAGCAGTGGTCCTCAACCTTTTGGACATCAGTGACTTATTTCATGGAAAATAGTTATTCCGTGGACCAGGGTAGAGGGATGGTTTTGATGTGATCCTGCAAACAATTAATTTATTATGGTCTCTGTGTATGCACGCCTCTCTGCTAATGATAATCAGCCGCTCCCCAGCACTGGCATCACCACCTCAGATCACCAGTCATTAGATTGTCATAAGGAGCACAACCTTGACTTCCTCACATGAGTGGGTTACAGTAGGGTGCCTACTCATATAAGAATCTAATGCAGCCACTATATGATAGGAGGTGGAGCTCAGGCAATGATGCCAGCAATGGGGAGTGGCTATAAATACAGATGAAGCTTCCTCATTCACCATGCTCACCTCTGCTGTGAGGCCTGGCTCCTAACAGACCATGGAGTGGTGCTGATCACAGTCTGGGGGGACCAGAGCCATAAGGAACTGTCCCCCCAGGAGAGTGTCACCAAAGCCGTGGACACTCACTGCTCAAAAGTGTCAGGGGAGTACAGTCAGCAGTTGGTCTCCACCTGCACAAACTACAGGACCTGCTGTAGTTTGAGCCAAGGCCTAACTTTCCTTGGGCAGCTCCCACCCACTGACTGAGCTGGGGTAGAGGGGACACTCCTATCGAATTTCGGACTTTTGTACAGACAGCTGTTGCCTGATGCTGCCTTTGGACTTGGACAAGGCATGCATGCGTAGGTGCAAAGCTGTCCTATCCACTCTCCTCCCTCCTTGTTCACAGGGGTCAGACCCACCCTGTTATCAGGAGGCTCTCTCTCCCTTTTCTTGCTCCAACTGGGCATCTGCTTCCTGGAAGATACAGACTGACACCAACATTTTACTCAACTTTGAACTCCTGAGCATCAGCCCTGGGCCTGAAATATCTATAAGGAGCTGTCATTCATTTACTCATTTATTCACATAATGTATATGTGGCATCACCCGGCAGCAGGCATTGTACTTGGTGCCATAAACACAGTGATCAGATATTCTAAACCTGCCCTTAACAAGGAAGGCCATCATACAACATGCGGTCACATCTCACTAGGGGCAGTGACGTGTCCCTGGAGGCCAGCCTGGTGGAGGGAGAAGGACACTCATATCTTCTGGCTGCTCAGTAGGGAGCTCCAGGACAGTGCTACTTACAGGATGCCTGGTCCCCATTGGTCTTCAGGGCAATGTCGTTCCTCTCCTGGCGGCCCTTGGTTCCTGAAACTTCTTCCATCTTGTGGATTTCTGACAAGCAGAGTTTGGGATTGTAGTGGAAGAAGAGTTTCCCCTGAGTGATGGTGAGGTTGTGTTTGCTCCAGTCCCAGAGCTGCCTTAGGTTCTGGTTGTCCAAGGCATAGAAAGAATAGCTCCTGTGGGGACAGCACATGCACAGCCCTCAGCATGTGACAGCAAGACCTGGGGCGGGGGGGGAAGGGGACCCCAGAAATGAGGACAGACAATGGGGACAAGGAGGGAAGCTCCAGTTCACACAGGCAGCACCTCCTCACAGTGCCACTCAAGTGGCCGGTCAGGTGCTCTTATCAGCAAGTTCCAGCTAGCACCCCAGGAGTTGGGCCCAAAGGTTGGGCTATTCTCCCTCTAGTTTTTCAAACCACAAAACAGCTTTTATGGGTTTTTTAGCTGAATAGACCTTTAGGTACCTTTCTCCCAAGATTTTTTCCAGAGACATTCTCCTAATGGTGTTTTCTTGTTTGTTTAAAAAAAAAAAGCCCGCCAACCCAGGAATGGATTAACAAACTGTAGTATATGTATACCGTGGAATACTATGCAGCCATAAAAATGATGGAGGCTTTACATCTTTTGTATTAACCTGGATGAAGTTGGAACACATTCTTCTTAGTAAAGTAACACAAGAATTAAGAAGTATCCAATGTATTCGATACTAATATGAAGCCAATAGATGATCTAATTCATGCCCACATAGGAGAAAAACTCAATTCAATTCAAGTTGGAGGGAAGGGGAAAGAGAGAAGGAGAGGGGGGAGGCGGGAAGGGATTGGCACACTCCCACTTAATGGGCACCATGGAAGAGTGCAAATGCAAATATTGTAACCTAGTTGTTTGTACCCTCACATTAACCTAAATTTTTTTTTTTTTTGCAATTTTGGTTGGGGCTAGGTTTGAATCCATCACCTCTGGCATATGAGGGTGGCGCCTTACTCCTTTGAGCCACAGGCACCGCCCAACCTGAAATAAATTTATCTTAAAAAAGGAAATTTTTTTTTAAAAATCTCAGTGGTTAGGGCGCCAGCCACATACATGAGGGCTGGCGGGTTCAAACCCAGCCCAGGCCTGCCAAACAACAATAACAACTACAGTTAAAAAAAAAAAAAAATATTGCCAGGCGCCTGTAGTCCCAGCTACTTCAGAGGCTGAGGCAAGAGAATCACCTCAGCCCAAGAGTTTGAGGTTCCTGTGAGCTGTGACACCAGGGCACTCTACCAAGGGCAACATAGTGGGATTCTGTCTCGAAAGAAAAAAAGGACAAAAATTTTTTTTAAAGCTTTTCTAATTCATAAACTTCCTAGTTAGCCCTCAGGCCACAAACTCAGAATAGGGCCCATTTACCCCATTTCCAAGGTCTCTCCTCGAATCAGACGTAACTTCCGGAAGAAGGAAAGTGACACCAGAGCGTAAGATCGACGGATTTTCAGATACCCTGAAATTTCTTCAATGAGGCCAAGATTGGCTTCTAGCTCTGCTGCCAGGTTATCTAGGGAAAGAAGAGAATGGCTGGTGAGTTTCTATAGAAATATTTTAATCTTCCTCTAATTTCCTGTGGTGAGGAGATAACCTATAGGCTGTAAATGATTTCAACACACCCTGCTCAAAACCCACAATGCTTAGAACATAGTCTGAAGTCCTTCCCACTCCTTAAACAGGAGAGCAGACTCCTTCCTTAGGCCTGTGCCCTGGCAGCCTCTTTTGCCCAGAATATTATTCCCTCATATATTTCCTTGGTTTATTCCATCACTATCTCAAACCATCCCTCCCCACACCAGAAACTTCTCTAAAATAACAACCCTTTTCATTCTCTGTTTCAGATGGTAGCAAACTGCAGCCCACTGGGCAAATCCCACTTGTTATGTAAATAAAGTTTTATAGGAATGGAGCCACACACACAGGTTGACCTGTGACTGTGGCTGTTTTCATACTACAACAGCAGAACTGATTCATTCATGACAGATTGCCCAGCTTGCAAAGCTGAATGTGTTCATCCTGTGACAATTTAGAGCAGAAGGTTGCTGGTCTCTGCTCTGCCATCACTCCGCTGTGCCTTCCTTCATAGCATGGACCACCTCTGATCTTACATTGTGCATTACTGATTTGCTTTTCTGTAAGATCCATCATGGCAAGGACTCCGTTTTGTTCACTTTGAGTATTCAGTGAATGTTTGCTGAATAAATAAAGGAATGGCTTTTTGCCTGAAACAGTATTTCTAGAAACATGGTCTACAGACCTACAGTGCGGCATGTTGCCTAATCACTAGACATGCTGGCCAGGGGTGATGGGTCAGGCCTTATCCCCGCACTTTGAGAGGCCATTGTGGGAGAATCAGGAGGCCAGGAGTTTTGAGGCCTGAGCAACATAGCCACAACCCTGAGGCCTCACTCCTGAGGCCAGGAGTTTCAGATCAGCCTGAGCAACATAGCCACAACCTGACTCTACAAAAAAATTAAAAACTGAGCCAGGTGTGGCAGTGACAGGTATAGCCCCAGATACTGAGGCAAGAGGACTGCTTGAGCCCAGACGTTCAGCATTGTGGTGAGCTATGATTACAGCCCCACACCCTAATAACCTGGGCAACAGAGTGAGATCCTGTCTCAAAAAAAAAAAAAAGAAAAGGAGCAGATTCTCAATGCCCCTAGCTCTCTACTTAGAAAATGAGAATCTCAGGATGGGTGGGGCCAACACTAGCCTGCTCATTTCACGTTCTGAGGCAAATGTGTGGTGTGACTGTACCAATGGGTCAGCCACTGAATGATCTTGAAATTGACTAGGAGGCCGGGTGTGGTGGTTCACACCTGTAATCCCAGCCTTCTGGGAGCCAAAGAGGGAGGATCACTTAAATCCAGGAGGTAGAGACAAGCCTGAGCAAGAGTGAGAGCCCCATGTCTACTAAAAACAGAAAAATTAGCCAATCATAGTGGTAGGCACCTGTAGTCTCAACTACTCAGGAGGCTGAAGCAGAAGGATCCCTTGAACCCAGGAGTTGGAGGTTGCAGTGAGCTAAGCTGGTGCCACTGCATTCTAGTCTGGGTGACAGAGTACGATCCCATCTCAAAAGAAAATTGCCTAGTACTGTGCTGCAGATCCCGGGCTGAGCTCACAGGGACCCAGAACCTGACAGTCGCCCTCCCACAACCCAGAGCACTCACTGCCCCCTCGGATGTTGATGATCAGACTCCCGTTGATAACAGTACATCCTCGGAGCTCCTGGGCAGATGTCACCGAGTCGATGGTCTTCTCACTTTCTAGGATGTGGCAGACCTTGGGACAGGGGCCCAGGCACGGTGTGCACATCAGGCTGAGGAGGGAACAGAGAAGGAGAGAAAGAGTGAGGGGCCAGGACACACAGGGTCCCTTCCACATGGCAGACAGCACACTACATCCTGGCGTGGGGTCCCAAGGGGCAGACTCATACATTATCCAGAGAGAGTTTCCTGACCTCAGCACTGTTGACATGTGGGGTGGGAGGTGGGGCATGCTGTGCGTTGTAGAATATAGAGCAGAACCCCCAGGCTCCACCCATTAGATGCCAGTAGCATCCCTGCTCCCAAGTCATGACAAAAATGTCCCTGGACATTGCCAAATGCCCCTGGGGAGGGAAGGCAGAAAACTGACCACAGAGAAGGGCCACTGCCCAAACTGAAAGACTTATGCCATAACCCAGTGGTAGCAGGTCCTCACGCTTTATGCCAAACTGACACAAGACTCAACGTTGTACCACAGGTGATGGGGTTCACACCATGTCCTATGGTGCATTACACTGAAGTGATGGGATGGTGGTGTTACCATGGTGATAAGAATTATACTGTTATACTGAACTGACAGACCTGACACTAGACCAGTGCCATGATGCCACAGCAGCAGAATTAACGCTGTTAACCCAGTGTGGTAGAATTAGCCCACCGTTTTGAGGACGCAGGATGTCTATTGTTCTGAGTGGGGTTTGACACCATCACAGCTGCAATACAGCCCCACATTTTGATAGCAGGTGACTTGGGCAGTTTTTGGCTTTGCCTACCTATGGCCTCCTGTGAATTTGAGAACCAGCCCTCCCCTACATGGGGTCTCTGAGGTGAGTTCTTGATTGACAAAGCCCTCTAGATCCAGACAGGGAACAGGACCCAAGCCAGCCTGAACAGCACCTTCTATCCCTTGCTGAGGGTTCAGAGGTGGCTAGCCTACCCAAGTCAATGCAGCAAGTGGTTTGTTTATTTGTTTGTGTTTTGTTTTTGAGACAGAGTCTCACTATGTCACCCTCAGTAGAGTGCAGTAGTATCACAGCTCACAGAAACTTCAAAACTCTTGGGCTTAAGCAATTCTCTTGCCTCAGACTCCCAAGTAGCTGGGACTACAGGCACCCGCCACAATGCCCAGCTTTTCTTTTTGTTGCAGTTGTCATTGGTGTTTAGCAGGTGCAGGCCGGGTTTGCACCCACCAGCCCCATGTATATGGCCAGTGCCCTACCCACTGAGCTACAGGCACTGAGCCTGCAAAAGGTTTTTCTAGAACCTCCTAGAAGGAGACAGCGTCTTCCCTCCAGAGTAAATAAGAGAGTGTGTTCTCTTGCTGGCATGGGGTGAGGGGTGAGAGGTGAAGGGGAGGCTGCCTGAGAACAAATCCAACCGAGAGCAAAATAAAGCCAAAGGCTGAAAAGAAATTGATCATATACATCATTAGAACTCCTGGATACAGCCATACCTGAAACAATCACACAACTTTTTGGTTTGGAGCACCTATATACTCTTTTAATCTTACTTAAGCCAGTTTGAGTTGGGGTCCTGTCACATGAAACCACAAGATTCTCAACTATTAGTTTTGGTTTTCCTCATCTGTAAAACAGAGATGACAGAGCCAAGCCCACAGGCTGTGATGGGCACTGATGCCCACCATGTAAAGCACCCAGCATATGGAGAACAATGGCCATTCATTGCTACGATGATCATTTTCATCACTGGTTTCATTGTTGCTGCTGTTGCTATATCCACACCCTTTTGTATTCAATTCTTCAGAATGACTTTTGGGACTGTGGTATAATAAAGAATATATCTGGTCTTAACCTCAGTTCTTGGCATCAAACTTCAAAAACCCTTGGGATCTTCTGAGTGACAGAAGATTCCTGTGTTAGGAATGTTAGGAATGTTGAGATGACTTGTGATGGGCCCCTCCACCTCTTTAGGATGAGGACTGGTCACCAGAGAGACCAACCACGTGATTACAGAACTGGGGATATCAGCCACCTGAGCAATGAAAACTCTGGACACTGAAGCTCAGTGGTGCATCCCAGCTGGTGAACACATGCTGTGCCAAGAGGATGATGACCCTGATTCCACCAGCAAGGATCAAGGTCCTCTCTCTCTAGGACTCTCATAGACCTTACCCTGTGTGTGCCCTCTGTAATGAAACTATAATTGTATGTATGGAAGGTATATATTAGCTCTGTGAGTTGTTCTAGTTAATTAACAAACCCAAAAGTTGGTCAGAACCCCCAAATTTATAGCCAGTTGGTCAGAAGTATGGCCAGGGAATCCCCAAAGTGCAGCTGGTGACTGAAGCAAGGGAAGTCTCGTGGAGGACTGAGCTTTGAACTTGTGAGTCCAAAGCTGACTCCAGGTGGTTAGTGGCAGAATGGCGTTGCACTACCCACAGTCGGTGTCTGAACATCGGGGATGGAAACAAAAGCATGATCTAATGTTTGGGTTCTTTTACTGGCTCTATACTTCTCAGGTGGCAGGCAGGTGATACTCTAAGTCAGGGGTTGGCAAACCACAGCTCATGGCCAAATCCAGCTGACCACCTGTTTTAGCAAATAATGGTACATTGGAATATGGCCACATCCATTGGTTACTATATCCTCTGACCCCACTTTCACACTACAAAAGCAGGGCTAAGTAGCTATAACAGAGACCATATGGCCCTCAGAGCTGAAAATATTTACTCTCTGGCCCTTTGCCAACCCTGTTCTCAGCTGCAGGTATACACATAAGAACAAAACAGATAATCTAATTTCCTAGTGAGAAACTGGAAATGGCCACAAGTTCTTTGCATCCTCTCCTACCAAGAAGTGAGTCGATTTTTACACCTGTTAGATCTGGGGATTCCCATCTGGGTTGCTTTAACCAATGAGATGTTAGCAAATGTGATGAAAGTTGAGACTTAAAAAGCACCTGCTTTTTAAGATGAGAGATCTCCTATGGAAAGACACCCACTGACCATCCAAGACATGAGAGGCTACCCCCGCCAGAGAAACTACTGGTCAGTCCACAGAACCTTAAGAACTCATAAATGAGCATTTTAGGTCACTAAGTACTGAAGCGGTTTTGTTACACAGCAAGAACCCTCATGAAGCTTATAATCTGGTTGGGGTGAATAAATAAATTGACATAAAAATATAGCTAGGCCAGGCACAGTGGCTCACACCTGTGATCCTAGCACTCTCGGGGGCTGAGGCGGGAGGATCACAGATCAGAAGTTTGAGACCAACCTGAACAAAAGCAAGACTGTGTCTCCACTAAAAAATTAATCAGGCATGGTGGTAGGCACCTGTGGTCCCAGCTATTCTGGAGGCTGAGACAGAAGGGTCACTTAAACCCAGGAGTTTGAGGTTGCTGTGAGCTGTGATGACTCTACTGCACTCCAGCGAAAGTGAAAGAGTGAGACCCTGTCTCAAAAAAATAAATAAACAAATAAATAATCAGCTAGCAACAAATGCCATGAAAAGTTTTAAAATTGACTCATGTGCCAGAGAGTGTATAGATGCTTAATTCAGATGGGGAAGTATTCTCCAAGGAGGCAAATTTTAAGCAGCAACCTAGATGGCACGGAGAAGTTAGTCATCTAAAGATTAAGGGGGGCGGTGTCTGTAGTTCAGTGGGTAAGGCACCAGCCACATACACCCAGGCTGGCAGGTTTGAACCCGACTCAGGCCAGCTAAACAGCAATGACAACTGCAACAAAAAAATAGCCGGGTGTTGTGGCGGGTGCCTGTAGTCCGAGCTACTTGGGAGGCTAAAGCAAGAGAATTGAGGTTGCTGTGAGCTGTGATGCCACAACGCTCTACTGAGGGTGACATAGTGAAACTCTGTCTCAAAAATAAATAAATAAATAAATAATAAAGATTAAAGGACATGTGTTTCGGGAACAGGGAACAGCTTGTGCAAAGGCACAGTGGAAAATGAATGTAGCAAGTTGAAAGAAAATCCTCTGTGGTTATAGCAATGGGCCAGGGAGACGGAATGAAAAGAGACCTTGTAGAGCCTGGCAGATGAAGTTTGGTTTTGTCTGTGAGTCTTGGGGACCCACTGGAAGGTTTTGGACAAGGACATGACATCATCAGGTTGCTATTTTCAGCCAGCACAGCTAGAATGGAAGCAGAAAGATGCACAAAGAGATTGTTCACAGTGACTAGGTGTGACCGGACACACCAGACACGATGTGAAACAGACGGTGTGTGGACAGAGCCGAGAACTCCATTTCACAGCAAGGAGTGAGGGGAAGGCAAAAAAAGAGACAAGGGCTTTTGATGGATCTCCCCTTCCCAATGGATACCCCACATCCATTGAAAATTCGGCATTCATCCCAAATAGCTGGTCTCCTCACCTCTGAACACCACACTGCTATCCTCAGTTGCCGTGGGATGCCAGTAAATAGTGGGACCTTTCAATGAATCTACATGGGTCCCCAGAACTCTGCTCTGAGAACAGCAAGAACTATGTCCCAGATAAGCCACCGGAATGGAAGAAAGCACATCTGAACTTATTTGATATCAAACCACAGTAGAAAAATCCAACAGTACTATAAAGTCTTTCATAAGGTAAAATGAAAGCTTCAAAAGTAAAACTATTACACTTTTTTTAAAAACCTACAAAGTAAATGCCGTCATGATACCTCATCACCAGCTTCTCTCACTTTGCTCTCTTCTCTCGGTAAATCCCAGGCCTTGAAGATGTGCTATCACTTTCTTGGGGTTCTGTTCTGTTCTGTTCTGTTCTGTTGTTCTAGGATCTACTATACCACAGGCAAGAATATCAAAAGAAGCTGTGAAATTTCTCAGGTCTTAGTTATGATGAGGGAAAAATACCTTTTATTTAAGGCCAATACTTTTTATTTATTTATTTTAGAGACAGAGTCTCACTTTGTCACCCTCAATAGAGTGCTGTGGCATCATAGCTCACAGCTACCTCCAGCTCTTGGGCTTAGGTGATTCTCTTGCCTCAGCCTCCCGGATAGCTGGGACTACAGGCACCCGCCACAACCCCAGACTATTTTTTTGTTGCAGCTTGACCAGGGCCAGGTTTGAACCTGCCGTCCTCAGTATATGGGGCCAGCAGCCTATTCACTGAGCCACCGGCACCTCCCGCAAATACTTTTTAAACAAACATCTCACCGAGAGACATTAATACTCACTCTTTATTTCAAACATGGGGAGAAGAAATGAATCAAAAGAAATATATGGTCATCTTCCTCAACTTACTAATAAGCTAGCATCACCCCCTTCAAAGAAGTTCTGTCTGGCAGGCAGAGGTGATTTATAGAAGACTATTTTAGGTCAACAAAGCCACCTGATAGGTTTTTTATCAAAAACAAATAAAACAAAACATATTGTACTTTCAGGTTGCACAAACACTGGAAGAGAGGCTCGTAATAACTGAAATTAAAGATTGTTTTCCTTCCCACCCTCTCCACCCAGGGAAATAAAATTTCCCACCAGAACACTCTCGCTTGGCTAATTCTCAAGTCTGAAGAGAGAGATTTTTACGTAAGCAGGTCAGCTCAAGGCCTCTTGATGTGTATCTGCTTTTGATTTGTTTTCATGTTGTTTTGTGTTTTTTTTTTTTAACCTCAACACAAAAACCAGGAAACAGATTTTTAAACTTGGTTATGGCCCAAGACACCAAAATAGCTCATCTAAGAAGCTAACAACATGAACAAAAAAAGTCTGCGATGTGCGTAGGATATCTGACTCATCGCCAAAGAGAGAAAACCCTGCTACTTCTCACTCAGATGATGGGAAATGGTTTGATTGCATTTGCCTTCAAAGAACAGCTAAGCCCAGAAAATTATGTGACAGTGAGTCTCTGCCTCCTTGAGACAGTACGTTCCTCACTAATCTGGGCACACCACCCAGCCATACATCGGGGAAGACTCAGGAAACCTCAGCAGGGCTCTTGTTTTAACAATGACACAGCTACATCATCAAGGGCAGGCCACGTGAAGGTTTTTAGGAGAAACCAACCACTTCTTTTATGCTTTTTTGTTTGGAAGCTAAATAGGGCAAGCTTAGAACTGGTGCAAAGAGGTCAGAAATATTTATTATCTGGCCCTTTAGGGAAAAAGGTATTGACTCCTACTCCAAAGCCCAGGACCAAAACAAGGGGCAAAAAAATAGCTTCTGAGGCCAGCAACTTCACTCCAAGCCAACTAACTCTGGTTTTGCAAACAGTTTTAAAAGGCAACACCATCATAAGCATGTTCTTCGTGCTCTATGCGGACCCCAGACCCATGCCCAGGACTCACTTGCTGGAGTTCATTGTGTATCCAGAGGGACATTCAGGAATGCACCTGCGGTTGTGAATGACGTACTGGTGGCAGCCCGGCCTCCGTGAGTTCTTGCATTTGTTGTGCAGGTCATAGCAGAAGCTAAAGTTCACGCAGCGCCAGTCCTGGAAGTGGTAGTACGGGGGTGGGCAGGCCTCCACACACCTGCCGTCCAGGTAGAAGTTGCGGCAGGCCATGCACTTGGTGGGGTCATCAGGCTCAGAACAGTTGCCCAGACACTCGCTATGGCAGCAGAGGCCTTCGGCAGTACAGCCGTGCGACTTGCAGACAGTGGGGCAGACTGGAGAGAGAAGGAAGGCACAGTGGGTCAATGGTCCTGCCCAGTTCCCGTCTGCACAGGCTGCAGCCCTGAATCAGGGAGAAGCCGAGCAAGACAGTGACAACAGTGGCAGCTTCACGTCACTTTGCCATATGTCAGGCACATCTCCTAATTCATTTAAACCTCAAAACCAATGGTGCTGCTAAATGTTTAACTGCCAGGGTTGGGGGACAGAGAGGCCATCACTTACTGAATTTGCCAATTTCTGCAGCGCCCTAAATTCTCCTTTACTCCCACCCTGTCAATTTCAGTTTACCAACAAATTGACCACAGAGCTGACCACAGAGCTGGCAGGAGACACATAGTAGCACACCACTAAAAACGTTGCCAACAGTAGATATGATCACATCTACACCGGCACAAAAGCAGTCAGTAACCTCAAGAACACAGCATTTAAAATGTAGGAAGAATATTAGGACATGTGAGTTCTGAGCATGCGTTAACTTTGTATCATAATTTGTTTAGTTGCAGTTTACATCATGTCATTTTATTTTTCTTTTTTGAGACAGTCTCAGTATGTCACCCTCGATAGAGTGCCATGGTGTCCCAGCTCACAGCAACCTCAAACTGTTACTCTTGAGCAATCCTCCTGCCTCAGCCTCCCAAGTAGCTGGGACTACAGGCACCTACCACAGCACCCAACTATTTTTAGAGGTGGGGTTTCGCTGTGGCTCAGGCTGGTCTCGAACTCCTGAGCTCAGGCAGTCCACCTGCCTCAGCCTCCCAGAGTGACATCATGTTCTTTTTAAAAACATTTATGTTTAACAAATAGCTCGCAAACTTCCTGACATTTTCACAGTGGGCTCTAGCCAGCCTGCTCTGGCATGCTGCTGCACCCCAACTAGGAAGGAGATGATGTTGTCATCTCTATTTTGTTTTTATTTCACAAACAGAGAAACTGAGGCACAAAGGGGTTTAATAACTTGCCCAGAAGTCATTAATCACCTCAACATGCTGTCCCCAAACATCTATGGACAGTTTCTTCAAGGCTGGACAGCCCTTGGCTACATGGGCAGCTCATTCTCGAAAATACTTCCTTCCCTCATTTTTTGAACACTTTGAAACACAGTTTGGAAGCAGGGAGTGTTCATCCCTCACCGAAAATCCCCAGGCTCTGTGACTGCTTCAGCATACTTTCCCAGCACCCAGTGGATCCCACCAGCCAGATCCAGGGACCAGAAGCCACATCCACATATGAACAGCACTGTCTGATCGAACTTTCAGCCCTGACACATTTGTTCTCTCACTGAGCTGTCCCACATACAGCCCCTTCTCTGTGGCTACTGCATGTGGTTAGTATAACTGAGAAACCATTTTTTTAATCATAGTAAAATATACACAGCATAAAATTCACCATCTTATCCATTTTTAAGTGCACAGCTCGGCCACAGTAAGCACACTCACAGTGCTGTTCCACCATCACCACCCTCCATCTCCAGACCTTGCTTATCTTCCCAAACTCAAACTCTGTCCCCATGAGACACCAACTCCCCACCCCTCTCCAGCCCCTGGCACCACCTTCTACTTTCTGTCTCTGTGGAACTGAGGACTTGGGGACCTCCTATGAGTGAGATTTTTTGACCTCTGAGCATAATGTCCTCAAAGCTCACCCACCACATGATGGCCCACGTGGTAAGTTCCTTTTTTTCATTGATCCATTCATTTCTGGATAGCAACTGGGATTGCTTTTACCTTTTGACTATTGCAAATAATGTTGAAAGGGCGGCACTCGACCAGCAGAGATCTCACCCAAGGCTTGTATGATAGGTCTTTATTGGTGGGGGAGGGAGGCTGCAGAGCAGCACCAAGGAGGAGAGAAAAAGAGAAGAGAAAAGAGGAGAGAGAAGAGGGGAGAGAGGGAGAGTAGAGAAGAGAGGGAAGAAAAGCGCACCTGTATATAGGTGTGGTTAGGGGAAGTCTCGGAATGATGATGAGATGGTAGACTAGCCAATGAAGAGCCGTTAGGGGTGGGCTATAAGTTTGAAATTTTCAGCAGGTTATTGGGACAGGTTTTGTGACTGGGAGATAAGCAGGCAACTTCCTGTTGTTCAGAGGGCAACTCCCTGTGCTTAGAAAGGAGCTGTAACTTTAAGAGAAAGCAGGAAGGGGCTTTCTGGGGAAGGGGCTTTTCTGGAGCAATTACCTAGCAAATGTGGCTACTAACAGGGATTTACAAACATCTCGTCAAGTCCCTGTTTTCAAATCTTTTGGGTATATACCCAGAAGTGAAATTGTTAAAGCACATGGTAACTCTATTTTGATGTTTTTGACAAACTATCACACTTGCTGTCCACGGGAGTGGCACCATTGTACATTCCCACCAACAGTGTACACGCTTTCGATATCCACTGGGGAACCAAACTTTTAAATGTACTTCATTTTAATTCACTTTAAATTCCATTTCAATTTCTTTAAAAATGCTTTATTGATATATAATAATTTCACATACTTATGGGACACGTGTGATATTTTGTTGCATGCATAGAATATGTAACACTTTCCATTTTTAATAGACAGAGATGGCTACTGTCTCTTATACTGGACAGTTCAAGCTTAGAGAATAAAAATATGCTCATTGTTAAGGCCCCCAAGTCCAGCCTCACCCATCCCCAGGTAGCAGTGGCCTTGTTACTGCTCCACCCCACACACCCAGGTTTTGTCCTGCCTCAGACCTCTGATAATGCTGTTCCCACTGGCTGGAGCACCTCTACCCACCTTGTGCCTGTGGCTCCTTCTCCCCAGTTCTAACCTCTTTAGAAAGACCTTCCCTGACCCCTCCCCCCATAGAAGCTGCCCCTCCTTCTCTATCCACATTCTAAAACATCATCTTATTACATTTCCTTATAGCACTTACCACTCTGGAAAACTTATCTTGGCTGCTTGTTGACTGTTTGTCTAGGTGGGCATCCCTGGGGACAGGGCCATGTCTGCTCTGTGCACAACACCTACTTCCAGACAGGGCCTGGCACCAGGCGGAGGCTCAGCAGACACACATCCATTTAGGCAGAGGGAAGGGACAAGGAAAGCCTTGGGAGCAGGTCCAAGTTCCCACTTTCTTTTAGTGGCTCAAGAACGAATTCAAAACTCCTGCTTTCAGGAGCTGCACAAAACCCCTGAAAAATCACATGCAGAATCTGGACTGTACACCCACTTGGTGAATACCTGATGCTTCACATAAATCCAAAAAGAATGAAAAGGCTAGAATACGAGAAGGACGAGGTAAGTGGGAACCCATCAATGTCTGTGGTGGCTTTTTTTAAGGTTTATATCTAACAAAGACCCATCAGGGACTAAGGTGAGTGCCATTTGCTCCACCTCACGGAGGCAAGACCTCCTAGCTGAAAAATGAAAGAGCTGAACAGGAATCTCCATCTTTTGGCTCAGAATCTGACATTCCCCGGTCTGCAAAATAACCTGGCAGTTTACAGGTTCCCACAGGTGACATGCATTCAGCTTTGGAGATGCAGCACCCAGCTGGTGCCCCATAAAGATTCATTCACAGAACCAAGGGCAGCCTCAGCTTTCTGGTCTGTAAGACAAGGACAACAAGAGTCCCTCACCCCTCCTGAAGGTCACTATGAGAACTGATCAGGGTAATGTGGGTAAAGCATCAGATTCTTCAACAGACACAGTTTTAAGCTTGATAGAAGTTAGCCACAGGAAGTATTATTATTATCATCATCATCATCATTATGTCACAGTGATACAGATCTGTCTGTGGGAGCCTGATGGCTGAAACTCATTTGGAGGAAGCAATATATAAGGTAGACAACAATCGCCTAGGGCCCACAAAGCCTCTGCTCTCTGGCAGGACACCCATAGGAACAGGAAGAGGCCCATTTCCTGAGGTGGGTCTGCCTTGGAGAGTCAGTCCTTTCCATTCAAAAGGGGCATCATCAAAGACTTAACAAAAGCTTCTCAAACACAGAAGTGTTCCTGCCCAGACAATACTAAGAAAAATTATCCATCAATTGCCAAAAAGGCCAGAGGCTGACTATAGGACACTTCAATTTAACCCTAGAGTTCTGCTTAAAGGGCCCATCTGAGGATTGTTTAATTCTCCCACACAGGAGTTGGCGAACTTTTTCTATAAATGGCCACAAGCAAATATCTAAGGTTTTGCAGACCATACAGTGTGTACTGAAACTACTTAACTCTGTCTTCACGGCACAAGAGCAGCCACAGTCATACACAAATGAACAGGCTTGCCTGTTGTCTGATAAAACTTTATAAAAACAGATGACAGGCCAGAGAGTTTACCAATTCCTGCTCCAGGGAAATGTACCGGCAATTGATTTTACTGTTTACTATTTCTGTTAGGATCTGGAAACTCAGACATTAGCTATACAAGGATATGCTGCAAATTGTTCTCATCCCATAGAAAAGATAATCCCCAAAGATTACAGTTTTCTTGCCCTGTATAACATGAAGCAGCTTCACACCTAACGTACCATCTCATCTCAAGGATCATGAATGCTTCCACCTTACCTTCTTTGTTCCCTCACTAATGGATTAAATAAATCTGTGACCTGTGTTCTTCATCTTTTTTTGCAAGAGAGCCCTTTTTTTAAGTCTTTGAAGACTATACTTTGACAACTACAAGCCAACTCTGGGTATCTCCTACTTAGTGGACAGAACAAGGTGTTAGTGAGATAGGAAAAGTAAGTTTTAGTGATCTCTCCCACAGAATGGTTACTACAATAAGCAATAATTCACTGGCCATTTCAAAATTGCTAAAGAAGAGTACATTTTAAATGTTTTTACCACAAAAAAAATAGATCAGTGTGAAACGATGGCTTTGTTCATTAGCATGATTTAATCATTCCACAAACACGTATTAAAACATCCCATCGTACCCATAAATATATAATACATACGATTATTATTTGTCAATTTTTTTTAAATGACAATGTTCCTCAGAGCAGCCACTTAGCCCCTCAGTTGAGTGAGTCCTCTAAACA